TGATTATAATCACTAACATTTCAATTTTTATTTTAATTGCATTTCATACTATTATTATTATTATTATTTTATGCATTCACACCTATGATTCAATTCGCACAGCGGATATAACTTCTTAAAAACCGTATATATATGTACGTATATATACTATTGTAGAGCTTGATGATAAATTCGTTGAAAAGAGTCTCCTCGTTGAATCCCAAACTTGTTTTGATTTTCTATAACTTTATGAAGCAAAACATTTAGCAGGCTGGTATGTATTTTTTAGAATCATTGCTTTCAAACCGAGGTGTGAATCCTTAGCCAGAGATGATGAACGAAAGAAGTGATTGTTATATTTCTTTCTCTTCTGATCTATTGTATCCTTCGAAGTTTAGCAACTTGAACCCAAAATCAGATGCAGGGTAAAGACAGTTAGGTACACAACACAGAGAAGTCAGTCAGTTTAGTTGTAGCAGTTGAGATATTTTAGACATACTATTTACTTCAGTGTTATAACCGCACTGAACTGAATAAATCCGTTGCTACTTTGTTATGTCTGCGCTTGTTAATTAACAATAACGGTAATCAACTCGACTGAGACGGTAATATACGTCTATTTGTCCACTGTACCTTCCGATTCACTGAACCACGCAAATATCAAAAGATAAAGGCTGACCTGTGACTGTAAGATACTGTATTATCGTACATCTATTAGGAAAACAACATATGATATTTATACATTTTCTTTACCATAATAAATTCAGCTCACAACCATGAGAATGGAATGTTCTTATTGGCTAGCGATGGCTGTTCTCATTGGCTGGTGACCTGATAAAAACCAAAGTGAGACAAAAGACGATGAATTGATCACACACACTAAATCACAGCATGCGTGAGAAATGATAGATTCACATAGTAACTCCATCACAAGATAAATCATACGACTAGTGAGAAAGGATGATATACTATTTTATGCTGGTTTCTATCATTCAGGACACCTGCAAAGCCATATGCATTCAGTCTAAGTTGCCTAACTGAGGTTCAACTCAACAACCGAGACTTATGGTAAGCGATTTTATGACGTAACCCGGGGACCGACCACAGATGTATCCATAATCTGTCTTCTGTAATCATATACCGCCTTGTGATGAGTACTTCTTTGTCTGTCCTCTTACCACCTTCTAGCTGTAGAAGTAGAAATACCAAGCATACCTCATAAGGAACACTACTACACTCGTCATTCATGGTAGTACACGATTCCCAAGGGGACTCCACCCATTGCAACTCCAAGTTCACACTCACTTCATGAACAAGTGTAGTCATTAAGTTGTTACCTAGTTAAATAGTGATTCTCGCAAGCAATTTATAGACTGTGGTATACCAATATATGATTCTAAAGAATAGCTAATTCCTCCCGGTGTTTCGGTGACAGTGACCGACATCAACGTAATTCCGACAGTCACTAAGTTAAGGGCCCCTGGTAGCGTTGATAAAATAGACGAAGATAAGACTGATTAGGGCAACTGAACATGTGATGATTGGGAGCTTAGAAGTTATCATTAAATCGACCGGTGAACCGTTTTCAATACCTAGACACACTTGGGAACGTCCAGACAATGCTTATTTTATCTATTAGAAGGAAGTCATTTAGCCTTATGAGATGCGAATTTCCCCATACGACATTTTTAAACTGTTCTCTGTAACCTTCGACCGTTGGATTGCGATAATTCTTAAAGATATCCAGTGCCACTACACTATCGAAAATTGAACAGTGAACTGACTCCCCTATAACTAGATAAGGTTAGTGTGCAGTTTTCTTGCCTTCAGGCTTTTCTTCTCTGCTCTACGCAAAGTTTTAGGACTTGTAAATACGCTGAATGTAATAGAAAAATCTACACTCTTAATTGCTAGCCATTAGAGTATGACTGTATACACTCTAACCGCTTCAAAATGTTAAGACCACGTGAATATTCAACTTCATCTGAGTTCATTGTCAGTAGCAGACAGTGGATGAAGAACCCAAAGGGTGGCCATCACGCTTCTATCGGTGGTTGCAGTATCCATGCGAAGTAGTAGGAAGTTCTCTGTCATTTCGTAACTATGCATAGGCAGCCAAATGACAAGACCACAGAAGGTACTTTTGAAACATGTTAGGATTTCAACAGAAATCAGTTTTGTCCTTACTACCCTAGAATGCTGATAGCCGCAACAGGATGAACGCAGAGCAAGGCTAAACGTGTTATACAAATTAAACTTTACTTAACATTTTCATTTAAACACTCACGTTCAACAATTTGAAATATAAAATTGGTAGTGCAATATGGGGGATTCAAGTTTGAGCTTTGAATTTCCAAGAGCGGTTAGGTTGCTAGCCTCAAGCCAGGCGCAGAAACCTTCACATGCATCAACTCTATAGAACTTATTTCAAACAAATGCTCGGTTTCAATGCAGATTTTGTCACAAACTAATATGAGAGCTTGAGATTCATTGGAAACCGGGGAGCACTATACAGCTGCTTCGTCCTAGTTTGGGACTCTTCAGCAATCCACACACTAACCGCTAAGGATCGAAACCAGAACCATCAGAAAACTCGTTACCAATGGGTGGAGTGGATACCAATCGAAGGCAATAGTTGAGAACAGTACTATAACACAAATCGACGAAGTTAGAATCCATAGATCACTGCTCAAGTGGCTGAATAGTCAACAAACTTGGTATTGTAACCGAAGGGTCCTAGGTGCTTTCCTTCGTGTATGTGAATCGATGAAGAGTCTCATAACAGGATGAAACAACTTACCAGTACCCGATCAACTTAGAATTAATAGTTTGACTACGTTTTCATGAATAAACCACACCCAGACATTAATGAAAACAAGACAAGTAGTTCAACGAAGAGTATCTTTTCGGCGAATTCATTCACTTCGCTATACAATCGCGACAACAGTTACGACCAAAATCAGTTGCTACAAATATTCAACTGCCATGCGGCAATAAAATTCACTCTAGGAATGGAATGCGAATCTAAAATTCCTATTCTTGATGTGCAACGAACCTTAGGAAAGTCAATCCATAGGAAACCTACCTGGAACGGTTAACTAACAAATTCCTACAGCTGGGTACCTATTTAAAGGAAACGAAATTTTATTAAATCCCTTGTCACTCGGATCCGACGCATCTGCAGTCCTAACGCCCTGGGAGCTGAACTGGATCTTCGGAAAGAAACCTTCATCCAAAATAGATACCCACCAAGATTCGTTGACAAGAATGTCAAACCAAACGTCCAGAGGAACGAAACACCACTTGTTTCAAAAAAGATACTTTACATGAATCTGGATTTCAAGAGAAACTTAGCTTGCGATATCCTCAAGAGAAGAATTTCAACATCTTTGGAAAGAACATTCTTCGCAGCAACGCTGAGTATTGTCCTCCATTGACCTGAAGAAGCCTTACGGACAAGATCTCGCATCTTCTATGTTCATATACCAGTTCACTTGTTGCTGTGGAGCCAGGTACATTAGTCGTCCGACGCGTATCTTGTCCAAAAGGGTTCAAGAACACTATCCCGCAAGGCTACAAAAAGATAATGGTGACTGTGTAAGGAGTGCAATAATCCAAAATCTCGTCAACACTAGTCATTCCATATCAACAAATGCCTCCTTCAAAGTTATCTACAGAGTCAAGAATAACCTACCATAGGCAATACGCTTTCGTCTCCTTAGCTGCATTGCTGGAAACTTAGCCACTCAGTTGGAGAAACCAGAGTTATGCATACAAAAGAAAATCATCCAATCACTTCTACTATCATGGTAACAACCATGTTGACTTCTAGACTTGATGTTTGTGAGCTTGTTTTTTTTCTCTAACTTCCTATAACAGTTGTAATTTTTAGAACTCTTACACAATTCCATATTGTCTATGTGCATCCTAATCACAACTCACTCATTAAACTATTCATCTTATTACGTAACTCGATCACGCTTATTCAACTTCATTTACGTGTTGATTAACATTAATGACTATGCTTTTGACAACGCATCACCACTACCCTCTTACCAATCTTCACCCGCACCCCAACCCAGTTAGTTTAATTACTCATCACATTTTTAAAATGTCTTGACAACAATAACCCTAACTTACTTTTATTCTTATCAGACAAACCTAATGTACACACACACACATACAAAAATAAGCATATATAATTGCCACTGTACAGCTAAATGTGAATGAATTTGTCGCCGAAAAGAGACTCTTCGCTGAACTACACGTGTTTTTTTCGCATTGATGACAGCGTTTTACCCTTCTTATTGCTAACTTGAAAATCATAAATTCTAAAGATGAACATTTACTGATTTCTATGCGTAGATTTCCACCTTCTTCCTGGCTACACCAATTAGTAATCTGAATAAATTTACAGTAACACACAGATTATACGTCTACAAGTTACACACACAAACGAAAGGGTGTCGTCGTTGGATCAATTAGGACAGACTGATATGTTGCCTGACACGATACTCCTCTCTTGAACTATTTCCAATGTTATTCATTCACACTATATCAGACAATCTTAAACTTATACATATACTACCTTTCACACAGAATGATGAAATTTCACGATTTCTGGACAAACAATAACAACTTTTTTTTCTACATCCCTTCGCGATCCCAGCAGAAGAGACAGGACAGTTTTAGGCTTTTCAGAGTTTCAGCAGCGGATTTATGCCCCACACCCATCCGCTAACAAACTACGGCGGAGTACGTCAACCGAGAAACCGAACCCAGACCCCACATGCATGTTGTTTGGTGAGCATTTGTCCTGCCTATCATTGACCCCACCGATACGTCGTCATCATAGTTCTTACCTTACCTAAATCTCTCTTCAATTATCTCCTACAACCACTAATTCTTTTAGCAATAGCTGTAAACGCCGTCGCAGCCAACTTATCGCTTGCAGAGTGATACACCGCCCTCTCTCTCTCCAATAATAAGTGAACAATTTTTTTAGGAAGAAAAAAGTTATAGAACCGATACACGTATATTTTGGCTACACTAAAGTGATACAGACACACGCACGCACGCACATCAAAACAACTATAAAAAGAGATCCTCGTTAGATACGTGAACTATGCATATACGACCACTACTATGTATTTAAACGGTATAGTTCATTGTTTCCACGAAAAATGGAAAGAGTAAGTGTATAGATAGCAAAGAAATATATGTATAAAAAAATAATACGTCGAAACGATTGTAAGTCGGGGACGATGGGGCAGCACAGAATTCTTTTCTTTATTATTATTATTTTTGAATACGTAGATATGTGGAATTTGCATAAAAATGTTATATTATTGTTGTTGTTGCCGTTGTTGTCATAGATGTGTAGGGTGTGAAGCATACACATATAATATACGTTGTGCAATGCGACAGACACAATTACATAACAAACATATACACGCGTCTATAAAAAGGAAACTGTACACATGGGGGTGTATGTGTGTGTCTGTGTGGTTACTCAGAAAGTATCAGGTGAGTTGTAGTGTAAAAAATATGTGGGTGTAAATAAGAGAAACAAAGTGTTATTACATATACACACACGCACACACACTAACAATAAAATATAATGTGAATCGTCAAGTCTACTACGTCTTCATCATTAAATAAAAAAAGTCAAAATTATTATGGGGAGAAAATATTGTGCACAAATTTCCGGTCGTCATAATAATAATAATAATAATATACAACACAGTAATAAAATTTCATAAAATGTGCCATCAAATGTCCAACAGCGGTGTTCTGACCCTCTCACTCACTCTCTCTGAAGACAAAGAATAACAGATGTACACTCATACATACACGTACACACAAACATACAGAAGAAGAAAGTGCCACCTGATCAACAACACAGGTGAAGACATGTTGACATTTGTCACGTACGTACATTGTGAACATCCCTTCTCTCTCTCTCTTTTTTTTCTCAAGATGATGAAACTAAATAAACAAAAAAATATTGAAGAAAAGCACAAATTGTTTGTGAGATATGCAATAAAAAATTGAATAAAACAATAATGGTGAAAGAGACCCACCCCCTATTGCTTGAGCAGTAAAAATCGATCATTATTTATGAGTGAGCAAGTTTAACAACTCATTGAGAACCCCAGCAGCAGGGAGTACTCTCTACTGGACAGCTGTTTCGTCTCTCCTTTGAAACTCTTCAACAGTATGCACCCATCACAGCCAAGTGTCTGAATGACTAAAACATTAAGGTCGGTCATGTGTTCGACGACTCCAGGTGAGCACTGCTGGTTTCCGGTGGTTCACTCTCTAAATGATACCAGTTCATGATTAAACTGGAAACCGACGAAATCTTTGCCAATTAACACTTGACTTGAAGAACATAACTGAGCAGTCGTACATATTTCATTTAAGCATGCCAAAGTCGCACGATTCAACGAAATTTCGTTAGCTTTCGACAACTTAAAAAAGCTGATATAAATTTCCATTTATTATTTAAATGAAACAGTTGATATGAACTAACAGAGATAGTGTGATATTTAACAGATTCTGAATGTAATACGTCAGGTATAAAATGAACCGTAAATATTCCCTCAAATTGGGAACATTTTTTTATTTCCTGTTAGGAATTTAAAACAAGCAACAAATGTGTTATTAAGATGGGATTTAATGGATTCATCAAATTTCAGTAAATCTCTTCAGATGAATATTGAAGAGTTTTACTAAAATTTGGTTAATTCATTAAATCCTGCTTTATTAACATTTGTTGTTTGTTATACTCTCTCTCTCTCTCTGAAGACGGGAGCAAGACAAAGCTGCCTGTCTATTATCACCCACGATGATATTCTTAATTGTGTTGGAATCGATTATGCGTCAGACTGTACAAGGGTGTGTGAGAAAAGGGGAATTCGTTGGACCACCGATAAGAAGACTCTAGAAGATCTGAATTACGCAGGTGACTAATATCGCTTAATGTCACACAGACTCCAAGACTTACAGGGGAGAAACAACAATCTAGCTGAAGAAGCAGGCAGCGAAGACAGAACTGCAGGTGAACATAGAGGTGATGAAGATAACCAACCGATAGCAAAAGCAACAACAACCAGCACCAATTACCATCAGCGGGAGAGATTAGACAGAGGTTACTCCCTTCACTTATCTAGGCAGCGAGCATCGTTTCAACAACAGGCAGTCAGAACGGATGAAGATGTCAAAGTTGGCTAGAATCGGAAAGGCAAGATACGCCTTCATCAGACTGAAACCAGTTTTGAAATCTTCTACACTCAGTCAGCATAAAGAACAAGATTCGGATTCTATTCAACACAAATGTGAAATCAATCAGTCAGTTCTTCTACACGGGTTAGAAACTTGCACTGAGTCTCACGAGAAGGATTTCCAACAAGTTACAGACCTTAATCAACAGCTGCCACCTTCGCTGGCTGGCTCCATACTGAAGATCAAATGGGCAGTCAGAAAGAATTAGCAACAAGAAACCAACAGGTGAGAGCCTATTGCTCAACAAATTTGGAGGAGAAAATAGAGATGGGTCGGTTGGGCATACGTTCATGGGGCCGTCGAATGACATCGAGCGCAATGCTGGCCACTAACTCGAGTGGAATCCGAATGGTAAGCGACGAGGGGGTCGTTGGTGAGAGGGTGACATGGAAGAGAGTGTGAGGAGGATGAAATAAGAGACTATGGAAAAGTCGTGGACCCAGCTGAAGAAGACAGCAGAGAATAGTTGAAAGTGGAGATGTGTTATTGAAACCCTACATTCTACTCGGAACCCAAGGGAACACTAATACTTACTCAAGTTAGAAGACTGAATCTTATCAGTATATTCTTCTTATAGAATTCCGTTGCTCTCGTACCTATATAACCTCTCGCGAGGAAGTTAATCTCTACGAAATTAGCCGTGACAATATAGATTTTTCCAAACTAACTTATCCTGTCAACTTGTGCGATTGTCTGCTGATATCTGGGTGTCAGATACTTCGCAGTTTGTTAATACTCATCATACTCGCTGCGTAAAATCCTCATCAGCTGACATTTCATTTGCACTCTCTCATCTAACAGTATACCAACTTGCGTCACTTTCGCTGCCGGTTAGATCTCATGCTACCACCACCTATCGAAAAACCATGTGCACAACGCAACTATCCACACATGGCAACTGAAAGTAGACAAAATTTCGAAACTACAGATACCTTCATCCAGTTGCTCGCGGATAGGAATGCTGAAAATAGAGTTAGTTTTTATGTAATGAAGATAAAGTAAACCGATAAGGTTTGACGACCGAATTGGAAATAAGTTTAATTAGTCAGACGAAAAAATAAAAAGTTTTTACCCATAAAGCCACCGACTGTTAGTTACAACTAATTAAGTATGTGAAAGTCATCTGACTTAGTCAACAGCTAGAAGCTGAAAACTATTCACAATTGTACAAGTGTATGTATTTCTTATTATCATCTTCAAAATGCCAGACATCTGGACTACTAACACCACCGCCACCACCACCACACATTGTTGCTCGTTCTCAGAACCCTTCAAACACCTATTCTCATCTTCCCCGTGGCTTTTCAAAATGTGCTAGCATTTAAATTATGTTCGTCTGTGTGAAGCTCTGAGGTGAGTTAAAATTCTTTGGCTAGCTGTTACCTAGCTGGATGTCCGCAAGATTTGTTGTTTCACTTGCTCACCGCATTGGAAGAATCTGTAACAGTCAGTGTTTTGAGAAGAGGACGCTTGAATCTCAGAAGAAAAATGGATATTGGCAGAGAAAACATAAGAACCAAAAGGCATAAGCGACTCAATCGATCTCCAAAAGAACCACTGTAGATGAGCTGCTCAGTCATTAAAAACAAACGTCACAACTGTCCTCACAACAACTGTGAGAGTAGTATTCAACTAACCTTCACCGAACTTCACGGAGTGGTCCCACTCCTAATTCTTTTTTCCACTTAGTCCAATGTCAGCTAACACTATTCAATGTGAAAGGCGGTGGCAAGGCAAGCGCAACACGAGTCCTACACAACTGCAATCGATTCACTTTCACACCCTTGTCGATTGACTTGCTTTCCTTACCTAGCCACACTACTCTAAATGCCTAACCTCAACATCGCTAACTATATTATACCAGTTGACTTGTGAGATAGAACGCAAACATCTGTAGTCAAGATCAGACAGCCTCTGTTATTATCTTCTACTTTTAATGACTATGTTTCACAGCCACAAGGGAGGGCAGAGAGAACTGCAGCGCAGTACACACGACGTCCTTTGATCGATAACCAAATATCAAGTAAGAGTTGACAAATGCTACACGAGTCAATTTTTCAAGATGCATACACACACACACACCTAAGGAGACATACATGTCAATCGGTGAAAATCTGATAAAAAAACACAAATTTAAAAAAAAAACATACACTGCTGATAAGCAACAAAAACACATCATAAACTAGAATGTTGTCAACACATTAATTTCAGAGAAAATGAACTTACTCTCTTACTAAATACAAAAGACTACAAAAAAAGTGATTGTCATCAACACTATAAAATGTGTTAGTTAAAGCATTCGTTGTTTTTTCAATAATGGTTCAATTTCTGACAAATCGCTTATACTTGCTGGTTCTAAAATAAAATTATCCGATGCGTTAGTATGATTTGTATCCATTCCATCAAGACCGTATAATTCAGCAACACGTGAAGCTGCTTCAGCTGCTGCACCAGCTGGACCAGTACAATTGAAAGCACCGGGAAAATCACTGCCAACAGCTGCATCAACTTTAGGCACATATATTGATAGATTGCCAGCTCTAGCAGCTGCTTGTCTAGCTGCTCGATCACTTGGACTCATTAAAGCATCACCAAACATTGTACTGATACGACCACGAGGCTTTAGTTCAAGATACTAAACAGTGGAAGAGGCAGAAGGGGAAGGGGAAGAAGTAGAAGAAAAAGGATGTGAGTAGGACAAATGGTGAATAAAGCATACTTGAATACACACGTGAAAAGAACGTATCCAAGATGAAAATATTGAATAGTGTATAACAATGAATATTCTTATCGATAGCTTCCTCTTCTTCAGGTTCTACTGGTGATGACAATATGATCACAATAATTAGAGAGTTTTTGTTTTTCTCTTTAAATATTAATGCTTTAAATAACACTGAATCAACGGCAATAAGATGAATAGACTACAGCTCAAAAAGTATTTGCAAGTAATAATATGCATAAAATGAATATATAATACTCAAATGAATATTAGATATTATATTAAAGGTAATAATTACAGAATTTATAGGTTTCGGCAATAGCAACAATGGAGGCACTGTTCTTACTTACTTAACCTTGAACTTCCACCGAAGGCCTTGATTAACTCTAAACAATTCGCTTATAAACACATAGTAAGTGTACGTTAAATGCCACTGTTGTCTTACACTATAGTATTGTCTCTTATTTAGACAACAGAGGTGCCAAGTATCTTCAGTGCGTTGTTGTCCTTGACTACATATCTGACTCTGACTCTGCACTTAAGCCTCTTTCATCATCACTAGTGAAACAAGCTTACTGAGATACAAGCAGGATGTGGTGGGGATAAATCAATGGTTGCATTCTTACTTTTCTGATAGGAAGCAGTACACACTGCATAGATAACGTGAAGTGCTTCACTGCTTGACTTATTCTACAGCTGGTGTTACTCACTCAAAGTGCTGTCCTCTCTCTCTCTCTCCTTTACTCATTTCTTTCTTCTCACATGACTTGCCCCCCCCTATTCTTCGAATGAAGCCAAATTTTGTTAAGTATCCCGACGATCCACCTGACTATTTCTATGCCGATTACTTCTCAATTAGATTGTTCTAAAATGAATATTTTCTTTATTAGAAATCAATCAGTGGTCCTTGTAAAAATATTCCTAACTGTTACATCTTCTCTTCTACGATCAGGTTGTTAACCTCACAATACAGATGATACTCTCATTATTGGTAATAATAGTAAATCTATTGAAAACTTTATTACCCTATTTAATCATATTCATCCAAATATCCGAGTGACTTCCGAACTAGAATCGAATAACAAACTCAGTTTCCTGGATATTACTATGACTAGAAGAGATGATGGAATGATTCAACGATCTATTTTTCGTGAAAAGACATGGAGTGGACAATATCTTCATTTTACCAGTTTTGTTCCTATCCAGTATAAACGTTCCCTAGTGAAATGTTTGTTCTCAAGGGCCCGAAAAATATGCACGAGTGATACATTGATGACTGTTTCACAATTATTTCACATAACTCTAATTCAAGATTATTGAAGGTGATGGAAGCACTTTGGATTAATCACATACAGCCTAAACTGTGTGTACAAAAAACAACAGACTTCAACCTTCGCCTACCATGGACTGACTATTTGACCTATTTAAATGTGATAATTGGTCATTAGTACGTACTTTTGTTTTTTATTTAACTGAGTAATTGTCATGATCTTTATTTTATTATTGTTAACCATGTTAGTTGTAAAGCGGTTGTAAAGAAACTACGAATGATGATATCATCTCGCGAAATTTGTCTTCTTAATGCCTTATTCAAATTTATCAAAGGGACTAATTGTTTTAATAAACAAACTTCACAAGAAAAAACTATTATTTTTAAATTCATTATTTCCGCGTTGACGAAAAAAACGAAAACAAAAACAAACACAGAAAAAACTCACATTTCCTTCTTCATCACGATGTTTTTCATGGAATTTTACGTGAACATTAAGATTGGATTTTTTATTAAATCGTTTTCTGCATATATGACATTCAAATGGTTGTTCTCCACGATGTATGCGTAAATGTTCATTGTAATAGGCAGTTTTAGTGAATTTTTTATTGCAATATTCACATTCGAAACGGGCATCTTTGTGGATTAACATATGCATACCAATTTGTGTAACAATCTGTGGTAAGGCAGAACAAATTTATCATACATATATACATATACATAATATAAGGTAGACAATCACACACAGTGTGTTATACAGTAAGTAATATTTACTGATGACCACGTTTCAAGCACAATTTACTGCTGCTCATAATCATATCAAGGTACTGACTCACACAACTTACCTTGATTCGTTTATATACATGAATAAAAGCTGATCAGACATATGAATAAAAATCAATAAAAGTTCAATAGAGGGGCGTAAAATAGAAAGGAAGATCAAGTACATTTGGAGCGAATAGTAGTGTTATCAATAAAATACAATAAGCTGGGAAATAAAATGTTTTTATAGTAAAATAAGTAAATAACTTGTTAGAATATTATAGTGTGAATTGAAAAACATTTTAATATTATTTATTCTCCTCTGATTTGGCTGGTGGTAATAATACCCTTCATATCTCTGGTATTTGCGTTGAGTCACTTCTATTGCGCATGTGTTGGGTGTAGATTCACTCGATGAACCAGAATTCAGTAATCACTCTATCTCTCTGCCTATCTATATTACTTTATAGAATTTTGACCGTGTCCCACCCTATTGTGTGTTAGGCATGCAGGGTGATTGCTGAGTTGTTTTCTAAATTACTCATCTTCGTGGAGTCAATTATTCTGATAGGATGATGAGTCAGTAGGACCACGTAAGATACAAGCAAATTAACTGAGTTACCTAGAACAATAACCCTAATGAATTAGCAAGGTCAAAAGATATATATACAAGGGGAGGGGAAATCTTTTTTAAAACATAATATTATGTATGACAAAGTATTAGGTCTTAAAAACGATTTTCTTCTCCCATTGTATATATATACATATATATATATATCTTTTGACTTTGTTATTTCATTATGGTTATTGTTCTAGCTGTGCATCGGTGGCACAGCGGTAGAATGCTCGCCAGCCATGCACGTGGTCCGGGGTTCGATCCCCGGCCACCGACGCAATCCTTTACCTCGCTAAGCCAGTAATAAAACTGGTAGAGGGGGAAGGTTGGACATCAGGCTAGCAACCTCATCCCGTAAGAAAAAATAAACACCACTGCTACCGAAACTTCAAGCCTGTAGCTAGAAGAAGCCCTATGTTCCACTGGGAACGTAAAGGAAAAAAATTGTTTTAAGTTAACTCACTTAACGTGTTTGTATCTTAGGCAATTCTACTGAGTCACCATCCTATTTTTCCTAGTCATTATTGTTTTACAAACTTCTCGATTACGTAACAACTTGTTGCGAATCACTACAAATTAAGTGGTCTTTTGAATTCCATAATTATTTTTACGCCTCCTTGCTTTAAAACCTACCTAGCTATCTTCTTACTGACATCTAAGAAGAGTTAATTGTTTTGATGACTTTTATTCTCTTATTTTCACTCCACCCACTATACCTAAAACTGACAACTCGTATGGACTAAAATAACCACATGATGATTGGCATAGTTTTCGATGTAAAAGACAACTATACATCAGTGTAGAGTCGATGATGAGGAACTAATCGACTGAGTTCAAAACACAGGACTATCTACAGAATTGGAGCAGCTCAAGTTGTCACACACACACACACATACTCCATATTCCACACAAAGGTAGACAAAATAGGGGAAACCAAAGAGACTTCAAAAAAACTATAATAAGCAGAAATGTGTGTGAGAGAGAGAGAGAAAGAAGAGTAACAAGGGAAAGCTATGACGGTTCAGTGGAATTTACTGAACCATTAAGAACAATTTTGAACCATATCACCACTGCCAATGATTCTTAATAACTCTAGAACCCCCAAGTCTTGACGACTTCATGGACTGAAGCCAGCGTCTTGTGGTTTGACCACCACTTCTTATTACTTTTTCCCAACTTAATCCAATATCGGTTAACATCGCTCCCATCGAGGAAGAAGATGGGCTGTTGCTCAATATGCTGAACACGTGCCCTAGCCATTTTAATTGATGTAGCCTTCATAACTGCATCGACTGACCTACCTCTCTACGACGCCTAACCTCAATATCACTCTGCATATTATTACCACTTAACACAGGGGATAAAACTAGAATATCTGTGGTCAAAGATAACTAGTCTCTTGAATAGTTCTGCTTTCACAGTCACTAACTGATTCCTCTTGATATAATCAACAAATGTGAGTCTAATCACGATTGTTTCTAAAATTAAAACTTAAGACAATCATGGTATAAATGATAGTGCCTCACAAACACTATATACCACACAATAAGAAGTTAGTTGCCAGTAGGTATTGAACAGATACGAACAGTGTGTCTGATATCTACCGACAGTCTACAGTAACTAAATCCCTTCACACAAGAATTGTGTATTAACCGGTGGAATGAGTGGGCTAAACGTTTACCGATCTTCTCCTCAAAAGGGAGGCCAAATACATGGATAGATCTTTATAAATGTCTGTTCTACGGATGCATGTTCAGATACAAAGGAACACACATAATAACGTCACCGAATTCGGCTATATATTTACTTTAGCTTACCTTTCCACATATTTGACATTCGAACTTCTCTGGACCTAATTGCAAGTGTTCCACACGAATATGACGTTTCATAGCCAGTTTACTTTTAAATGTTGTCTGACAATCAGTACACTGATAAATACGTGTACGAAAGTGTTTTTGTCTATGCTGGGCATAACATCGTAGATTAGCGCAAACTTTATGGCAGATTTCACATTTGACAGCTCCACTATGCATTTCTTTCACATGACGTCGAAGTTCTGTCTCCAATCGGAAACGCCGCTGACACATGAAACATTCATGGGCTAATTCCTAGAAACAAAAACAAAAAATAACATATTTTAAGGTAAGAAGGTGGAGTAAAACAGGTTTAAAATGAGTGACTAAGCGACTGATATTAACGTAGAACTTTGCACAGATGTGCAGTATTTCGAGCTGCCGCACTTCACGTAGCACACAAAGCAAGAGAAGAAAGTACAAAGAGATTCAAAACAGAGAATAGAAATATGAAAGAACAATGTAATTTTATTGGGTGTTATAAATCATTGAGAACTAATTTGAGCCATGTCACCAATTGTCTCCAGCTTTCATTGGTTTTTATCGTCCCGAGGACCCCAACCAGTCAGGAACTCTACACCTTCCTATGTGACTGGTTTAAACTAACTGTTGTGGATTTTATTGACTGATGAGGCCATGTTTACGTTTGACTCACCACTAGCTAACTCTTTGACAACTTGATCCATCCTATGTCAGCTAACATTGCCAATTATCGAGAAAGGCAATGGCTAAGTATGCATGCGTAACACATGTCCTAACCATCTCAGACGGTGGAACTTCATAACCTCGTCGAATGATTTTCCTGCCTTAACTAGCACTGGACGCCTAACGCTCACCCTATTATACCATCTAACATGGAAGATAGAACGCAGACACCTATGATCAAAAACAGCTAGCCAGGCTTTTCATATCTTCCACTTTCAATGGTCATGTGTCACTCACAGTCATAAAGGAGGACAGAACGCACTGCTTAGTAGTACAGACATGCTTTGGTCGAAAGCTGGCCTGATATGCCACCCACGCGAGAAACAGCGTGGTGTGGCAAATGACAAACGAGCCTTCCGCATCCGTGCTGAGATTTTGTCAGCGATCAACCTGTTGGCGTTGGATGATGCAACTTACCAAATAAGTGAAGTTGTCAACACACTTTACCACTTCCCTCCTACCTATCTTCAAGCTAGGAGTTAGTCAATGTAGTCCAGTCCTGTAGCATCATCCAAAATGAGTTTAAGTAAGGATCATATTTCCCATGGAGAAAAGTTGATACACAATCTGTAATCATCATCATTATCATCGTCATCATTTACTACTGTTGATTTGCGGGGAATGATTAGTTTCAAGTTAGACCACGAACTGATTTCAGTTAGAAAACGACCAGAAACCGGCAGGTAGCAATTGGACAGCTGATCGATCCTAGTTTAGGACTCCAGCACTATGCATTCACGACTCCACCGGGGATCTCAAACCCACCAGCTTCAGGTTACGAAATCCACTTGTGGACCAATAAGTCACTAACCAATGTCATGTAGAAAAATACTTCACCTGACTAAATGATAACAATCTATCATTGGAAGTATCAGCATGTCTATTTTCTACACATAAATTGAATACGAACAGCCTACAGATAAGCTATAGTTACGAACAGAGTGTTGTCCACAGCTCATCTAACAGAACTAAGGACGAACTTTCAGTAAATTTGCCTTGTCATAAATTTCTTTCATTAACAAGGTAACACAATGACTGCAAAAATAAGATCTAGGCAAAGAATTGTTGGTATTAGATGGTTGGAGGCAATCGGCAGGAAGCCTTCCACCTAGGTTTCGTGCTAGTTGGCACTCATCAGCGAGGTGTATCTGCAACCCCGAAGGAACTCATGTCCCTTCTGAGATTCGAACCCGCGTCACCCACTGCTGCAGTTACTGACTAGTGTCCAATCAAAAGTTAGGCAAAGAATATATTAGTGCTACCTGCTTGGCTATAAATTCATTGAACTTATATGACCAATATACGTCGGTGGTCGGTCAGCGAACACCTTTACCTTCCTTAGTCCGTAATAAGCCCGACAAAGAGGGGGAGGTTGGATGTGAATGAGGTCAGCAAACCCACACCGTGAAAAACACCCACTGCTAGTGAAACTTCAAAGCTGTAGCTTGAAGCTTAATCTGTGTTCCACTGAGGATGCATAGGAATAAATTTTAAGAAATAATAATTAACAACTAAGCCAAGTTAAGGTCAGTGATTTCAGGCGTCTGAATTACTAGTGGTTCGTATGCTACGTGTAAACTACTACATGTTACAAATCTGCATGAAAAAGCCAAATCATCATGCCTCATGAGAAAACAGGCTATTATAGTAATAATAATAATAGTGCTATGTTTACTTAAATGAGTAACCAAACAGTTGGTATCTACCGTAATCTCCGGGGGAACTTTCGATAGAAATAAGCACAAAAACAAATTTCTTTAGCTATTAATAAATGTAATGAGAGTGAACACTAATCACCAACAGACAAACAAATATCATTTATTGTCAAGAGTTAGTTTTTAGGGGGTTTGACTTGTTTCAAGTATGGCTACGGATTGATATCAGTTAGAGAATCACTGAAAACCAATTGGGACAGCTATTTTGTCCAAGTGTGGGAATCATCGACGCCTTCCCCCCCCCCAAACGGGGTTCGAGCCCAAATCTCATATTATCAACTCAAAATTTTTTGGGAAATACAATACTTTTAAGGGAAATAAGCTTAAAATAGTCAAAATAATTATAACTTACATGATTATGCATACGGAAAATATGATATCTTAAAGACGATTGTTTAGGATAAATTAATCCACAGAATTCACAAGTTGCTGGTCCTTGATCATCACCATGATGACATCGCATATGATGAAGAAGAGACGGTCTCAGTCGAAATGCACGTCCACATTCCATACACCTATGAGAATAACCTTCATTATGTTTATCCATATGAGCTCGCCATACTCTTTTATCAGAGAAGCGTTCATAACAATGAACACATTCGTATATAGAAGGTGATGAATCATCGTGAATTTCACGTGCATGTCGTAAAACACCTTTATTAAAACCCCAAAAATCACAATGTGTACAACGGAATATAGTCTGAACACCAGCATTACCAAATTCACCAGTAGGAAAGTGTATTTCACCAAGATGAGTAGATAGATCCTCAGGTGATTCAAAAACATCAGCGCATATACGACAAATATCATCAAGTGTTGTATTCACATTGTGTTTTTCACTAAGATGTTGTACATAATCTTTCCCACTGCAACGAACTACAAGTCCGCATAGTTTACATTTCATTTTACGAATACCAATTGCAGATAAATCATCTTTGTCTACTTTTTGACGAAAATGTCGTGTTTGAGTAATCATTTGAACTATGCCTTCTGAATTACCATCACCACCAGGGTGGACTACTCCGTGTTCTGCCCATTGATGAAAATAATAGTTATACTGTGTACCATAAAATTCTGTGCATATATCACACGTCATTAACTTTTTCGATGACTTTTTATTAACACTAACTTTGGCTGTCTCTTGATTTGTCTCACCTTCGACTACATTGGTCTGTTCAGTATCAGATTCTTCTAAAGCATTCGGTGCATCAGTTTTTATATGTGTATGATAATGTCCAGAAAGTTCTTCCATTGATCGAAGAACTTTATTGCACAAAACACATTGAAGGTGATAGACTGTAAAGTGTCGAAGTATTTTATCACGTGATGGAACTTGAATCCCACAAACACCACAAACACAAGCATCCTCTTTAGCATCTGAAGTTGTATCGTCAGCATTTGTAACATTAGTAGCCTCCATAGACACATCGTCTCCAGATATAGCATTAGAGTCTTCTATTAAAAGCGGTTTTCCACTACTACCACCGGCAGTTCGAGATAGCGGAGTACGAAGAGAAAAACTCACACCATCACAGAAATCTAAGTGTTGTGCAAGTACTTCTGCTGCAGGGAAGTAGTCACCACACCTTTCGCATTGCGGAGCTTCCATACGACCAACAAGACCTGTGTTGAAGACATTTGCAAGTCCAGCAAGTAAACCACTACCTGGAGCATTAGTATCTTGTTCAGCTGCTTCTTCCTCTTCATCATCCTGTTCACTACCTGAATCATTCTGATTAACAACTGGATTAGGGCGAAGAAGTACAGATAAATGACCTGAGCGTGGACAAGCATGATGTTCATTCATATGAAGTTGCCAGGATCGACGATCTATGAAGGAAACATTATGCACTCCACATCGGAATCTAGAAAGACCTAAATGTCTCATTTCATGGTCTAGTAAACCATTCGGTGAACGAAGTTCTTTAGCACATAAACAACAAACACCCCAGTGTTCCGGGAGTGGAACTGGAGATGGTGGAGGAGCATGAGGATTTGCAGCAGCTTCAGCGTAGGCTGCAGCTTCTGCTGCTTCAATATGTTGTTTAGCTAAAATTTCTGGCATATGCTTTTGTGCCATGCGTAGAACAACATCGTATAGGCTTACACAGACAGGTAAATCGAAAAATAAGCTACACAACTGATCAGTAAAACCAGAGACAACATTACACAACTTATTTTGTTCATAATGTGGATAATAAAATGCTGGTAAAACAGTAGAACTGTTCGTTTCATCATTTACTATTCTAACATTGGAAGGACATGATTTACAACCTGCAGATATAGACTGAGCACACAACGAAGGATTTCTTGTATGTGGGAAGATGGAGTCGAAACGAGCAGGAACAATTTCAACAATACGACGAATAACGCGTTGATCATCAATTTGTAAACCATACAACAATCCATTTATAGCAACTAAACGGTATTCAGCTGAAGTAGGTTTGAATGATGCTTCATAGGACTTTAACTCTGCAGGAGTGACCTGATCGAAATTGACAGAAGCAGCCTCTCCATGGGGATGTATGCCTAGCTTATCATCTGCTACTTGAAGGGTAAGACGAACCGGGGAATCAAACGCAACTGCTAGAGGAACACGTCGTTGACGATCTAATATAACGAATTTTGTGCAGTGAATAACAGCTGCTGGACCTGTTGACGTCAAAGGAAGTGTATTTGTATCTGGTCTTGTAGAGGCAACAACAGCTGCAGCAGCTGCTGCCGTACTACTAGAGCTGGCCAATTCACGTAGCATAACTTTTCTCAGAGTGTCGAACAACAGATCAGGAACTACTAATAAAGATTTATCCTCAAGTATATCCTCTGGATCAATAGTATGTACACCATCAAGTGCTATAGACAATTCTGGCATAAATCCATGCTTTTCCAAACAGAATTTTGACTCATCAACAAGTGAATACACGAAGTAACTGTCGCTATCGGCAGTATCACTATTACTAGTACTACTTTCAGATGGATAACAATTGGCAGGATGTGCAACTAACAATAGAGTATCTCGACGTCCATTCGGTTTAACAACAAATGCATCTAAAAATCGTATTGGACCAAGAATAGAACTTTCTTGCCTAGTTACACGTTTTGTTGATGAACTATACTCTTTAGGATCAGATTTTAAAACTACCCAGTCTATCATATTATCTAAAACGTCACGAACTTGTTCCTCTATGGTTTGATGGTTAACCACCGCCGCCGCCGTCTCATTAGTACCATTTTGCTTTACCTGGCTTATACTCTCCGACAATGCATTGACATTAAACAAATCAATAGGTACTTTTGGTCTATTGTGTGGAACATCAGTACGATTCCATGCATCCAATACTGCTATCCCGATTAAATCGCCATCTTTATTGATAGCTAGAACAATTCTTTGTAAATTTGGTGGTTCCAATGGACTGATGTCAATATCAACTTCATCTTCTTGTTGATGAATTCTAGCCAAAGCAAGTTCATAGATTCGCTCCGGTGGAAGAGCAATCAATTCAGTTAATCTTTGATATAAATCAGATGGAACAATTAACTGATTGATATCTGGCATATATCTTCCTAGATTACCAGCACCTGTGATAAAATTATACTGTGTATTTGAAACACCAAAATCATTAGCAACTGAACTACGTATTGCTAATAAATTTGTTTCTTGATTAAGAATATACGCTGGTTTTATAATCATTTCTTCATCAATATTTTTAACAAGTGATTCAAGATGTTGACTGATAGGCGTCATATGAGAAACACCAAATAATGGTTGATGGATTATTGGCACTAGATAAACAACACGATGTTGCAATTGATCATAAGGACGTGAAACAAATGCATGCAACAATTCAACAACTTTATCATGATCATTTATACGACTCATTAAACTTTGTAGACTAGCCGATGCACCATAGAATAGATTAGCATGCTGATTACTCGGTTTGCATATTTCTGCTAAAAATTTATCAAATCCAGCATTTAGAACATTTAATTTCAGGAAACTTGAATACGCGTCTAAATCAGCTCGTGTTTTAAGCGCAGCTGCAAGAGCACTATAGATATTTGAACCCCAACTAGTTCCTTTACCAGCAGAAGTTCTACGCGTCGATCGACCAGTAGATACATTCATGTTACGATGATTGACAGTATTTGTTGCTATTCTCTTTTTCATTGTGCTAACACGTTTATCTGAAATAATACTTTGTGCATCGAAATCATAAATATCTTTTTGTATTTGACTTGCTTCATCTTCAAACAATTGCATACCACCATTAACACTACCAGAATGATTAATTAACACTGAGTCGCCTAATTCTTCATCATCTTCATCATCATCCTCTTCTGTTTCAGATTCACCTGCTTCATCTTCATCAGTAGAACCTCCATCATCTTCAGGTTCACTAGCAGGTGTTGTTAATTGTGCTTTTGAATGTCGACGTGTACGTGAAGAGACACCTTTACGAGTTTTTGATACTTTTGAAAGTCGATGAAGTGTCTCTTCATCCGATGGAGCGTATTCACTATCTTCATCACCAGCATCAACATTTTCATCTAAATCTTGATCATCACCATCAACATCATCTGTAACAAATAAATCTGAATAAGTAAATTTTTCCTTTTTTAATTCATTAGGTGATTTAGTTTTAGGTGTGGATTTTTCATCTGTTGTATTTGCAGAGGCTGTAGAACGTCTTAAACGACTACTACTACGTGTAGGAGTAGCGACAGGAACAGGCTTTGATTTATCACCACCTCTTTTACGTTTTGAAGCAGGAGTTTCAATTGGCTGGGAAGATTCATTGCTTTTTGTCTGTGATTTTCTTGTAGAAACACGCTCTTGTGATTTCCGACTTCGAGTTGACTTACTACTACTTGATGCCCTTTGTTTACGGTCACTTCCACAATCCTCTAGTTTCATTTATTTAGTTTTTGATATCTAGGAGAGAAAAAAATATAGAAAGTGCTAGCAGAATTCGATTGAGTATTTTAACAGAAACACCAACAAGCTTAAATAGTTTAAGCTATGGAGCTTCCAATATGCAGGTTTATAATATTCCATCGTCTCTCAGTTAAAAGACGAAAATGGATATGAACGCCTGAACTAAGGCAGTGTATACTCAAGCATTCAGTATGACAACTGATTGGTTTCAACATAGAACTTAGCACTTCAAGTTGCAACATTTAATGAACACCCACACAAAGGCAAAAAGAGATTCGAAAGGACAATGAGCGGAAATGTGCGGAAGAACAATAAGATTTTATTGTAAGTGGCACATCACAGAGAGTGAATGCATCTGCACCATCAGTGAGAACGATTTTGAACCATTTCACCAATTGTCACCAGCCGTTGGTTCTTAGAATCCCAAGGACACCAACCACCAACCAGGCAGTCTACACTTCACTATATGGCTTAAACTAACTGTTAGAGACTTGATGGACTAATGCCACGTTTTCGTCTGACCATCCACTAGCTCTTTTTCAACCCAACTAACATTGTCTGTCCGTCAAGGAAGGCGGTGGCTAGGTAAGCGTATGACAACTAAAAGTACTAAGTGAATTACTGACCAACTAACTGTTAGAGACACTTACGCGGAACACAATATGTGGAGAAGTCATCAAGTACTGAACTGCACTACACTACACCACACTGGGAAAATCATATTTCGACGGAAAAGTTAACTTACATACACAAACAGACAAAATCTCAAAATAGCTGCTTTATCCTTTCAGTTTCAGATGGAAGATGTCATGAAATAATTAGGTCTCTTGTGAGTAGGAGGTGATGTTCACATATTTTCTTTAGGATGTCAGTTGCTTGCTGGTATCAGCGAAAATGTTCACATTTCTACACTGAAGCTACGATCAAGCTTTGAGATATACTGAAGTATTACACAATACACAACCTAAGTCAGTCAATGACTTCAGGGATTGATACCGTATTTCGGTCTACTAATTGTAACTGATTTCCAACCCAATAGTATTTTTGTTACATGTTATCAACTGCAAACTCACCATGTTGGTTAGGTGAGATTAAATGAATGAGCATACTTGGACCTCGTATCCATTCATTTTTCACAGATACAATATCCACCCGTAGCTTGAAACAACAAAGTTACCACTAATGAGGCCCATTTTGAGGGTTTGGTCAGTTACACTCCTAAAACTCCCCCAACTTCTTCTAAGGTTTAAATTATGTGTCCCCCTTTTATTGATTATTTTGGCACCGAAATGCTAGGTCTTCTCTGACGTGTCGGCTTCTAGTGCTGAGGCTTCAATGATGTCAGAAGATTAACATGACGCTGTTTGACAGATGGTGACTAGCAGGGTAATAAATGATGCGTGTCTCCTCCTATTCAGGATTCGCTAGCCAAATGCCTCTGCATCCCCAGTGAGTGATGAACGATTCATTGGGAAAGGTTGTGGCCTCTGAAGCTATAAGTACTGAATTTGAATATTAGAGGGAACACCATCACTCACAGGGGATTTAGACACATGCGGCTAAATAAGACAAAACGCGCATCCTGAATTCCACACCTAGTCACCATCTACTAAATAACATCTTTTAAGTTTTCCGACCTAACGGTTTCGTCACAGTCTAAATTCCATTATTAAAAAGAAGCTGTGGCTTATCCTTAGCAGAGGTCTTCCTCATGCACACAAAACTATTCCATTTTACTGATTTCCATGAAGTTGAGCATTAAATAAAACACCGAAAGTTGAGCATTCCTTGTGAACTTACTGGTGTGGAGATAACACCAAGCACAAAAGCATAAAACTGCAGTCTGGGTTGTATAGCTTAATGGAGTATGTACGTTGTATTATGCTGACGAGCTAACGGTGACTGCCTTAGTTTTCCCAGATACGTATGCAATGTTGGCCAACACTAACTTATATTACAAGGAGACAGACACACTCGATGATGGCCAACGTCAAGACCATATTGGACACAAACTTGGCACTGCTATAATTTACCTATGGAAGATAGCCGCTCTCGGGAACATTTGCACAGACTAATCAAGCATGTTTGGACACGTGTATTTCTGTGACTCGATGTACACAAAAAGCAAACTAACAAACCCCTTTCGTGACTAGCTTACAGCTGAAAATGTCAGGTCTACATTGAGGAAGAAGTTAACTAAATACCCGTTTGAGTATAGCAGTTATACTCATCCTGAAGGATCTTAGTATCACATCTACGCTTTTTAAAAAACAGTAGTACAGATCATTGACAACAGGCAACCGAAGGTAACTAAATGTCACGGGAGTTTCGTTTTATATGACTGTTGTCGAGAAACTGATCGTGACAACGAACACAACGAGGGGCGGGAGCTCTGCTCGCTAGGACCACGTGCTCTGGACATGCAATCGTGTATTCTGAACTTCACTGGTTAGTCTAGGCCGTTGATCTGTTGTAATATTAGTTATTAACCGACCCGTCTTCCGAGTAGAACATAAAACATCAGCAACATACTTCTATTGCACTTCTATTGATCTTTCATCACTTCTAACAGATCTTACAAGTTATAACTGCCTATTTACATGATCTCTATGTCACCCTCAGGCACCTAACCTCAAATATTTATGCAATAGTTTCACTTAACCACCCAGAGGAGTTAAGGATTTTAATAAATTACTAAAAATATATTAACCAAGTAATTGACTAGAGTATCAGAATTTGACAATTACGTCGGACTGGTGTAGATGATTAATTGTCCTAGTTTCAAAGGAAGGGTATATTCCTGTGATAACTACAAGGGAAACAGCTTAACCAATGTAGCATTTAAGATTCTAGATTTCATAATTTTGCAGGGACTAAGTACGGCTGGGGAAAACACCCAGGTAAACCAGGTAACCTTTAGGCCCATAAGAGGATAGTGTACTTTCCATGTCTTAAACTTCCAACAGGTTCTAAAAATTTAAGTATACTTACTAGTGTCCAACGCTGGACCTGAATTTAGTGCTTGGCGTAAGCAACCATTTAAGAACTTGGAGCGAGTTGTCATTTGAGGTAAAGATATCCAGGTGTTCTCCTAGGATACCCCACGTTATTATAGTCATAGATATGGATGTGACGATGGTATACAATAGGTGGATGTCATAGTCCTAAATGAGACAGAAAATACAAGCTCCTCAACACCTTGAGCAAAAATCTGAGCAGGTTCGGCATGCTCTTTCACTCCCGTCAAATGTACGATACCAAAATAAGAATGGTTTGCACTGACCCCAAGTTTAAGGATAGAGTATAGTGGTTGTATACACTGACCATCGTACATATTTGAGGTTTCGAAGCAGGTGTAATGGACTGATCGCCGCTGAAATTGATGAAGACTTCCTTGTATCCGCCAACTTAAATCACCTTTGGAGAAAGCGTGTTGTGGCTATCTTTACCAAAGGATATACGTTCTATACAAAGTGCACCACCCTACTTTACCATTGACAGCCACCGAGAGTGAAAGACAGAAAGAATAGGGTTTTTAAATTATCTACGCCTTTGATCACTGTCTGCCGTGAGACATTATAAATAATAAAGAGGTTAAGCACAGTGTTGGGTAAGTAGGGAAGGTTAATTCATGAGTTGGCGAGCCTCTATCATGTCCGTGTCACAATGTGAAGAGGTGTGCTTTCAAGTGAGATGATAAGTAGCCCTGCTTTATTACTAGCTACGCCCCAAACAGTTGTTGTATAATCCAATGCAATAAACATGCCTCAAAAACACCAAGGCAACATTGCTCCACATGTACCTACAACTGAGGAATGACTCACCATTGGTAAGTTTGACGACATACGTCACCAGAACAGCTATATCATTTGAGAAATGCATGTTCGACAAGCATATTGGCGGTAAACAGCATTAATCGGCCAGGAAAGCAACTTAAGCCGAACACCAAGTAATAATGATACATATAATAATGGCAGTAATACAGGCAATATATTTAGCGGGTACAATATACCTCGAAAAAATTGTCTAGTCAGGTATAACCACTGGGTTGAAGCAATAAGATTAAGAAATATAGTTGTCATATGCAAAACTAAGTTATATGATTAATGTATTCGGTAAGTCAGATAGCAAGGAATTTGCGTTAGCTGATGGCCACTGTTATTAAAGTTGCAACAACAGCCTTTAAGCTAACAGTGAATTAGTTTCAGTAACCAATCTTTCCTATAGTTAGTTCATCTAAGTAAATACAAATCAATTTCTGACTCCTAGATCACGAGGACGTTGCACCATACTTTGATTTAAACGCATCACGCAGTTAGTGCCAAGAACGGATGAAACAGGCAATCGACTGTAGTAAACATAACAGGTTAGAGTTTCCACACTTGATAAAAACTGGCTGACCCACCTAAATGCACGTGATTTTCACAAGTGGGTCACTCGTATTGCAATTACAAGTACATCTATTCCATTTATTACAAACAGAAAATAGTGATTTTAACTTCGGGGTTCTAAAATATACATAAAAAGGTATTACATGAAGTCTTTTAGATGTTTTGTTCTATGAGAAGACATGAACATGCACCTAATTTGAGGCTAACCACAGGTCCTTAGCGCTGAAAGAAGTTATCACTTTTAGTGACTCTACTTGTTTTGATGATTATATTTACAATTATGACATTTAACATGCATAGGTATATGATAATTCCCCTCAAAGGGGGTACCTGCCCAGAGGTCATTTATACACAGCTCTACACAGACACATTCTCCTCTGATATTAAACGTCTAGATGCACTTTGCATATTTTGAGATATAGTGATAAGAGCTAGAATGGGCATACAGATAGTAGTAAAATATCGAACAAAAAACAAAACGCAAAACCTACTGAAAACAACAAGATGGCGACGTATACTACTGAATAAGGAATTCAGTAAGCCAGTATTGAGTGCGACTAAACAAAATCTAATGAAAATGTACGGATC